ATCGCCTCTTATCCTCTGACCAGATGTGTTCATTGAACTCTGTCAGGAATAATAAAACACTGGCTGCAAGAGGCATGCACACCGAGCCTACGGAGCAGGACGGGAGGGTAAGCTGCATAGTCAGATGCATGAACATGCAATGATGAAAGCTAATAGATCCAAATGAGGCATCCTAATTATTATAACGATCAATAGTGCAATGGTGTGATGCTAATGAGAAACACAACATACTGAAATTGTATTAAATGGTCATGTAATCACATTTGGATGTACTTTAACTTAAACATACCACGAAGACAACATCTCCTTTTTTTTTACCACATTTCTCTGCTAAACAAACTTCTCCACTCAAAACTGCCAAGAAAGGAGTGCTTCACTTAGCCACTTTGATAATGAATTAGCAAAATTTGATGATTACCAACAAATTAAGGTCATTACTTTGCTTGAAGAAAAAAAGAAAAATGGCTAAAATTGTGCAAACAAGTAGACGCGTGACCTGGTGTTTGCTGAACATGCCACGTCAGCATCGTGGACATTAAGCTGTCACGGATGTCTGTGACATTTGCTTTCACGGGAGAAGGAAAGTTTATGATGGTTTCCTCTAGTTGTGTGAGTCTCATTCGACAGAGTATAGCAGAAGAAATGTCAAACACTGCTCATCCTGTATTGAACTCAAGTCTATTGATGGACGAAGAAGATGAAGAGAAACTGAGAAGGATGAAGGAGGAGGAGAAACTGTTTTTTTTTTTTTTTTGTGGCTCTGATTTCTGCTGCTCAGGAAGCCCTCCTGGGACAGAATCAAAACCCTTCCTCTTCTGATACCCTCTCACCACAGGCACCCGGTGACCACTCGCCCCCAGAGAGTGAGTCAGGATGAGAGGGAGGACGAGGAGAGGTGGCAAAGATGGAGGAAGGGCGAGCAGCACATTGATGGCTAGAGTGATGATTTCCTTCACACACAAATGCCCCCACTCATCCTTTCAACTCCACCCACCTCCCCATGGCCCCAGCCCTGCAGGCAACACATGCACACACACACACACACACACACACACACACACACACACACACACACCATGGTTAGGCCTCCAATTAAATCAAAAGTGGTTTGTTTTTATTGGTCTTTTGCGCTGACAAGTGGGCTATCATTCTGACGGCTCTACCTGTCAGTGAGCAGCTGAAAATCCTCCGTTGACAATGCCCAATGCTTCCAATTAGGGGAGAATCAGACTCCTGGCGCGCTAGCCATCCTTCCTCTCACCCCCCCCCCCCCCCCCCCCCCCCCCCCCCCCCCCGGCCCACCTTCCCTCCCTCTTTTCTTCTGCACTCGATCCCCTACCATTCCCCTCTTTCCCTCTCACTCTCCTCCGTAATATCTCCCTCCTCCTACCTTTCTCTTTCTCTCCAGGAGAAGGGGGTCTGTCTCCGCTGCAAATTACAGACACAAAACGAAGGTGGTGGCGGTGCAGGCGCTGGGAGCTGCCGGTCCAGGGCCCTGTCAGCATTAATGAGACGATGAAGGTTTATTTTGCCAGCATGCATGTGCTAAATTCTTTCTTGTGTGACAGCTGACTGGGAAATGTGAGTGTTAACCTTATAAAAGATTCAGCGGGTTCTCATTATTTTCTGTCAACTCCAGTACCTGATGCCGTTAAGGTGCATCATTTGCATCCCTGACTGGTCCGAGGTGCAGCACCAGCACCGGAGCAAGCTTTTTTTTGTTTCCTTTTTTCCCTCCTCCCCTCTTTTTTTAAACACTGTTTGTTTGTTTAAAGGAGTCATCTTTTTACATACATCCTCCTCGAAAGACGCGCTTTACTCGATGTTCCGAAACGATAGAGATGCCAAAGTTTATTCAAAGGCGACACACGTTTTTACAAAACATATCTAGATACATATTTAACACGTCTGCTCAATTGAGCGAGTAAATAAAATGTAGCACAATGTTTCCTCTTTTTCCTCCTCCTTGCAAAAGCATGGAAAGCTGAGAAGGCCCAGCAGGCATTATTAGTAGTAAAGCTTATGGACAGGAATCCAGTAATGCACAATGGGGGTGGGGGGTTAAAATAAAGCACATATCTGCAGATAGATTATTAACACTGACAAGTCAGTATGGACTATTATGATGAAACTGCACTTGGTGTCAGTTTATCATGTCTCAGGCTCTATGTAAACCCACTGAAGCTTCTGCACAAAAGACTGATCAGCATAAAATATTTACATCCATACTGGCCTTGAATAATCTGAATTAAATTGAACTGTACAGCTGTCATTCCAGCCAGAGAAAAAACAGTCTACACTTCAAAAAATAGCCCAAGGGTGCCAATTTTGTTTTCTAAGTGGAAGGCTGTTTAATGTGGGTCAATTATAAAGTATTATTAAACCAGGTGAGTGCTGCGGAGACAGGCAGCAACTGACCATTCAGTGTCCATTTCCTGAAAACATCCCCGTTTCCTTCCTTTAACATGGATCAATAACATCCTCCTACAAAGTCAGTGTATGTGTGTGTGCGTGTGTGCGTGTGTGTGTGCGTGTGCGTGTGTGTGTGTGCGCGTGTGCGTGTGTGTGTGTGTGTGTGCGTGTATGCGCGCGCGTGCGTGTGTCAGAAAAAGATCGTGAAAAAGGGAAAGTGTGTGTGTGTGTGTGTTTGTGTATCAACACCAGGTTAACAGTTGCACTGGCCCTCAAGTTCTGACCACTTCCTGAAGAGAAAAAAAAACCTCTACTTGACCACAGGGACACTTGCTCAAAACCAGCAGAAGCATGAGCCAAATCATTTCACTACACTACACACACAAGCACACACACACTTACAGTTACAGTCTATCTCCACTGTCTTCTGCCAAAAAACACATACTCCAGGATTTAGAAACTTAACCAACAGCCTAAAATGTTAAATTTAAACTCAAAAACACATTTAATTTTAAAACCAAGATGCTCATGTAGTCGATATTAGTGGTTTGTTTGATCCAAAAATGATTTAATGAGGGGAAAAAAGAGACATAAAATATCTTCTGTTTCCAGTGTTTTTCCAGTTTTATACTGATCTAAATGAATTAAGACACTCAAACATAAAATTTTGGCAAACTTGTAATTTTTTAAATGATTATTTTTAAAGTCACATTTAAAACAATTAAGAATTACAAACGGGTTATATATATATATATATATATATATATATATATATATATATATATATATATACTCATACATACATATATACATACATATACATACATATTATTTTTTACACATATGGACTGATTTTTTTACCCCCAGTTTTTATTATTATCATTATTATTTTAACTAATTAATTAAATTGTTGATTCATTGATTACCTACAAATTTATTGTTGTTTTTTTTAAAGGAGCTTTGGTTCCATTTCTAAATATTAATTTTAAATGTAATTATTGTGTTTTTCCCGACATTATGGGTCAAAAAATAAAAACACAATAATGAGCAACTCAAATTAAATTAAACATAAGAGGACTTTGGGGTTTTTTAAAGAAACAAACAGGAATAATTAAAGCTTCTTTAAGTTTTAAAGGCCACATGATGATCCCAAGCAGGAAGAAGTCGGTTTAATCACCTTATGATTAATTCACAACAACATCGCTGGAGCCTGTGGATGCATGGCACGGTAAGAATAAAGAGGGGAAAAAAAAAAAAAATCGAGAAAGCACCAAACCACTGCTCCTTTCATGCACAAGCAGAGGAGAAAGAAACAGCTAAGTCAGGGTGGGTGTGTTGCCTTATATCTGTGTTGTCCCCGCCTCATATGTGACAGCTTGCAGCCGTGATGGGACCCCATGGGAGCGGGGAGCGGATTCACTAACCTGCCGGTGTCTGAGACCGACGCGCGCCTCCAATCTGGTGGTCACATGGGGTGGAAGATGAGGGGGGAGGGGGGTGTAGGGTGTCGGTGATGATGGGAGGGGGGTTAGTTAGATTATTAGGGGCTGTCGAGGCCGTCGCACGGGGCAAACTGTTGTGCAGGATGGAGCCCAAGGCGCGCACACAATGGCATTTCACGCGTGTTAAGGTGAAAAGTGCGCACAATGGCACTTGAGGCGACTTGAAGTTTTGGCGTCACGCTGCTCGGAATATTGTGCATAATTACCAGCGACAATGAGATCATTATTATGCTCTAAATGATGACTGTTCACCCGCGAGACCAAGAAAAGAAAAGAAACTTTTAGTATGTTTATATATATATATATATATATATATATATATATATATATATATATATATATATATATATATATATGATGATTGTAAAGTTGCAACTTAAGGTAAACGAAAAAAATAAAATAAAATAAGATTTTAAAAACACAAAAAGGCCCACTTCAATTGATTTGAATTGAATTGAATAAATAAATAAATAGGGCTGTGTTTATAAAAATGCAAACAATAATTTTAATAACTATAATAATAATAATAATAATAATAATAATAATAATAATAATAATAATAATAATAATGTTGGCATTGCTCTAGACTAATAGTGCAATGTCAAAACCCACCAATCGTTGTAATCGAGGTTAAACCTGAAAATCCTACAAATAAAAAAAACTAACTAAAAGTAAAATTAGTGAGAGTAAAAAAAAACTAAATCGTTGAAGGGAAGAAAACTGTATAAATGGAATCTGTGGAGGTGGGAAACAAATCCAGTCAAAGAAAAGGAGTCGAGAAGAAAAACAGCGAGCCGCCCCACATAATAACCCCATTATAAGCCTCATCAATGATGTAATGAAAGCAAACAGTGTGAAAATTGCCTGTAAACAGTTGGATCTGAGTCTCCTGATGAATTCAGTGTCTCTTTTATCAAAGTGAGGATGAGCCAGGATGGGGGAGTCAGGGTGGGAGGCAGAGAGAGAGAGAGGGGGGGGGGGGGGGGGGGGGGGAGCGAGAGAGAGTGGGCGTGTGGGGAGGTCCACTTCCAGCTCCCCTCAACCAATGAAGGCTTGTCACAGGGGACTCACGTGGACGAGGCGCTCTTAAAACCTAGCTCCTGACTTTTCCTCAAGTTCAATTTTTTGGGATTCCCTCCCACCCCAACCACATCTCGTCAATTTACTTGCCAGATGTGACTGTTTAACCCAGTTTATCGTAGCTTTTTTTTATTTTTGCTTTTGCGTTGCGCATCTCATCGTCCTGCGTCCTCCGCTTCTTCCTCTTTTGCTGCTCTCTTTTCCTGCAGCAGCTCTCGGACGCTTCTCTCTCACACTCTACTGGGTTTCTTTTTTAAAAGATTTGTTTATTTATTAAAGGTTTGCCCGACCCCCTTGAAGGAATGCGAGCAGTTTGCCTCTGTCTTCCGCAAAGCCTCATGACCAGCTGCCCTGAAAACTGTCCCCCGGTCCCATCTCGGGGTTGACGCTGTCCCTGTCCATGGTGCTGAACAGCTTTTTCCCGAAGACGCCGTTGAGCTGCGGCTGCTGCTCCACAAATCCTCCGTATTTCTGGGTATTTTCGGGTACTGCAGGTGAGATGTCAGCAATGATCGCTTCATCTACCCGGAGAGGCTTCTGAACTCAAAACAGAAGGAGTTGATCCCGAAGGAAGCCAAACGAATCGATTGTGACTCCTACGGTTGATTTCAGAGAGACTCCTTCGACTCTCACGCGCTCTCTTTCTCTTTTATTTTTTTAGACTTTTCCGAAAGACGAACATTGGAATCATGGACCATTCGTGTAACTCATCTTAGCGTGGAAATATCTGGCCTAAAAATAACGACAAGCCGGCTGGGGGCGGGGGGACTGGAAGTAGCGGGTGAATTATCTTCATTTGTAGCATATCCAAAAATATTTGTGTTGATGCCGGAAAGGGGTCACTTCTATTCTGGATCAGCTGAGACTAAAACAACCCCTTCTGCCCTAAAATAAAAACTTGTCCTGAATACCAAATGTCAGTTTGAGGAGGTCTCATCAAGACAATGGAGGCGTCCGCCAATGGGTCCAGTTTTGGCATCGACTCTCTGCTGTCCCACAGGCCTGGGAGTCCGGTGTCCAAAGGGGACAGTCTGGTGGGAGAGTGCCGCTCCCCTCTGGAGTTCAGCCCCAGATCAGACGTGGAGAGCGGCTGTTCGTCGCCTCCGTCGCCGAGGAGGGAGTGCGTGGATGAGGTAGCCCAGAGGCAAGGTCACGGCGTCGGCCTACCACCGCACTTGCAACACGCGCAGATATCTGCTGGGTCGCAGCAGAGGACCGTGACCTCGTCGTTTCTCATCAGAGATATTCTCGCGGACTGTAAGCCTCTGGCTGCCTGCGCTCCTTACTCCAGCAATGGACAGCCGACTCAGGAGGCGGGGAGGCTGGCCTCGAAGATCGCGGACGACTTTATGGAGAAAATCCACAGCAACTCATCGTCAGACAGTGAATATAAAGGTAAGGGTGCCACACTGACTGCCTACTCTACAGAGGAGAATGGAGGCAAGCCTGCTGTACGTCATAATACATATTTGGCTCAAAACAAACAAACAAACAAACAAACAAACAAACAGACACACAAACAGACACACAAACAAGACAACATCAAAAAAAACAAAAAAACAAAAACTTTTGGTAGTTAAAAATTCCACTGAATGAGTTTTTCAAATCTATATTTTAACACTTTAAAACCTTTACTTATTTCTTTATTCAGTTATTTATCTTGATTGATGTTTATGTTTGATTTATTGTTCTTCGCTTTTTATTTTGCATACGATAGTCATAAATAAAGTAAAAGGGTCATGTAAAGGTCTGGCACAAAATGTGTAAGCTAGTGTAATGTGGAAGAATATAGAGCATAAAGTTGGAACAACAACAGATCAGCTTTTCAAAATAAAGGCTAATTTGGATATTTTGGAGTGTTGACTGGTGATTAAAAATAAAATAAAAGTTCCGTTTTTAACGTCTTAAATTATTTCATGATAATCAATCTTTTTACTATAAAAACAAAAATCGAGGCATCTATTTTCTAATAAAATATGCAGACACAGGTGATCATACAAACATACTGCTCTTATGTGATTAGTAGCAGGTCACCGGAACGATGACCAACGATAAGCAAAATATCGACGTGGAAATGAGTCGCGATTGGTTACCTCTGGATGGTGACAGACCAGAGCCTTTTATCAAGTTATTATAAATAAAAAACAAGACAAAACAAAAACGGCTGCCTGCCTGTACACGCAAACACGCGGGGTCCGCTTCAAGCTCTGCGTTAAGCAGAATATCCGTAAAGCATCTGTTGATGTCAGTGAGGCACGAATGGTAGAGATGACAGGGTCGCCTCCAGATAAATGCCATCAAGGGCCTCTCTGTTTCCAATCATGTCAGCCATAACAGACGTGCCACCTCCACTGACAGTTTAATGAAGCAGTGCCTGGAAAGAACTCCACCGCTGTGGGCTACAACAGGAAATACAAACAAAATCACACTTAATACACCTACAAACTATTATTATTATTATTATTATTATTATTATTATTATTATTATTATGTTTTCTCGCAAGCTATTCATTTAAACGTAAAGTCACTGATTTCTTCAACATTTTCCGCCCGTGCGCTCACGTGCATCACAGAGTGGATGCGACGCGCTGATTGATTGAAGAAGCCGCGGGTCCCACGCGCGGCTCCCGCCACGGTAACTTTGATTTCCACGAATCCGCCTTCTGTAATATATCAGGGATTTGATGCAATTTGTCCCCGGCGCTAATCAGATTTGTAACCGCGCCCGGCCGCCCAGCTCTTGATTTCCACTCATGTCCACGGTGCTGTGAAGTTTCTCCGGTCGCGGTTGAAAGGCTCGTCCTTTCCCTTGTGGCTCAATTAGGCGGATTATTGTGCTTCTTGAGACGACTCAACTATTCAAGTACCAAGATCTCTCGCCTTACTCGCTTCTATTGTTTTCTTCTTCTTTCTCTTCTTCTTCTATTTTATTTTATATTTTTTTAACTATCAGAGAATTAACTATAAGGACTACATATCAATGCTCGTCCTGACACGACACCACGTGTACAAAGAACAAAGGCTGTGGATCTGCTAACAGGAAAATATCAAATTGGAAGGGTGAATATTGGAATAGCTTTTCATAACAATTTAAGGCCAAATCAAACAGCTCCATAAGCCTATAGGCGCAGTTTCCAGTGGCGCGATTTCACTCGAAAATGACAGCTCTTCTAAAACGTAGATACAACTCATCGCTGGTTAAAAAATAAATTATAAAATATTTTCACATTAGAAATGTTTTTAAAATTGATTTTTTTATATCTGCAGATTAAACGGTGCACTTTGGAGCCCGCAGAAAGTGATTTTGTGTTGTGTTCATTTAAAAATGAAACTTTAAAAACAAAACAAGGCCTTCTGGTCAAAAGTTCGGCTTAATACACACACACACACACACACACACACACACACACACACACACACACACACACACACACACACACATATGTATATATGTATATATCTGTATAGATATAGATATATATTTTATTTCCAATCAAAATTTTCCAAAATAAGTTTTTGCTTCTTTTACACACAAAAAACAGAAAAATGTTGACAAATCCTTAAAGTCAAATTAATTTTTCTGTATTTTTGTGGTTTTCGTCTTCAAATCCTACATTAGGTAAGCGCAACGTAACAGGGCAAACCATTTATTCTGTTTGTGTTTACTGATAGTTGTTTGCCCTGTAGGACAGTCGTGCACAGATTTATTAGCCCCCTCTTCTTGTGGAGGCTGCACGCAAAAAATTTCAACTGTGTGCCGTGGGAGAGGCCTTAACTGGTTTCACTCTGTTTCTGTCAACCAGTGAAAGAGGAGGGAGACAGAGAGATCTCAAGCAGCAGAGACAGCCCTCAGGTCCGGCTGAAGAAGCCCAGGAAGGCCCGGACAGCCTTCACAGACCACCAGCTGGCCCAACTGGAGCGCAGTTTCGAGCGGCAGAAGTACCTGAGCGTCCAGGACCGCATGGAGCTGGCGGCCTCCCTCAACCTCACCGACACGCAGGTCAAGACCTGGTACCAGAACCGGAGGTAAAGACGCTGCTGTTTTCTAAAAGGGAGGGGGGTGGGGGTTAATCTCGTTTCTCACGGCCGACTCATGACCCGGGACGCCATGTTTTCCAACTGAAGGTGGCAAGATTTCACCTCATATCTGAGTGAATGCGGGACGACAACGAACCATTAACTTCGATTAGTGATCAGCCTGCCTTTTTCTATTAATTGATTTATTGTGTGGTCCATAAAATGTTAGAATAACTAAATATATCTGACATCTGATCCCAAATCATAAAAACAGCATTCACGTTTGAAGTAGAGGGACAAATTGCTTTATTTATTTATTTTATTTATTTTTTGTTGTTCTTCTTCTTATTAGATAAAAATTTCAGCTCTAACTTGTATACATCTACGGGAGCACTTACTGACTGGCAGCACTTCTGTGGATTAGTGCTGGATATTTGTATTTTATATACTCTTAAGAAACAATTAAAAGGGCATCACATAATGGAGACGTGTCACTTGACCTCAAAAATATATATTTTCTATATCAGCTTTTCAAATACATTAGCAAAGCTGCACAGGAAACAAATGTAAAATAAATGAAAATACTTTTGGGTTCAGATAACTTTATTTATCTGCAGTCTGTCTCTGGGGCAGCTAAATGACATAAATAAATATAAAAACAACACTTTGGACTATGAATAATGTATCATTGCATGTGTGCATATTAATAATTCAAACAAACTACTATATCTACTCAATTATCTTTAGTATGAATTATTCACCTGCATGGAGTGCACACTGGCAACCTAACAGACATCGCTGGGTGTGAATACATGTGGCAGGTTGGAGATTTTAGTGATTTTAGAAAGAAAAAAAACCTCACTTGAATGTTAATTGGATTCCAGGTAAACAGATGGGAGATATTTTGGTGTGTCAAACACGAGACACGTATTCAGATATACATATGCTCCACACTTAAAAAAAAGAAGCTAAAACCTAAAAACATCTTTTATCTCTTCCAGGACAAAGTGGAAGAGGCAGACGGCGGTAGGACTCGAGCTTCTGGCCGAAGCTGGAAACTACTCCGCCCTGCAGAGGATGTTCCCGTCCCCGTACTTCTACCCGCAGAGCCTGGTGTCCAACCTGGACCCCGGAGCTGCCCTCTATCTGTACAGAGGCCCATCGGCGCCCCCGCCGGCCCTGCAGAGACCCCTGGTTCCTCGGATCCTGCTCCACGGCCTGCAGGGGGCCAGCGAGCCGCCACCTCCTCCGCCTCCCCTGCCTCCTATGAGCGGCGTGCTTCCCAGGCCAGCTCAGCAGCGGTGAGCGGGCCCCTGCAGATATTATTTTTCCTTATTTTTATTATTATTATTTTTTTTTTGGTTTTTCCTTCGCCGATCCTGGCAGCTTGGGACTCGTTAGAATAAACGAAACAAAGACAGAAAGAGTTTTAAAAAACAAACCCCGAAGAAAACTAAGACTAAAACAAACTGTTCGGCCTTTAAATGGTGAAAACTGATCCACGATGAACCCAGACGGACGGACCTTTGTGACTGAGACCCCCGCTGCCTGTATGGAAGTTTTTTTTCTTTTTCTTTGTGTCTTTGGGGGCAGGAACTTTATTTATAACTTATTTATTTTTCAATATGAATCAAAGCATCTAAGTTATGTATTTATTTGAACCCAATTACAGTATTCAGTGTTTTTCTCAAAAAACAGATACACTGCATTTGTCGGTGGCACTTTGACCTTCATTCCAATGCTAATTAGACCTTTATTATTATTATTATTATTATTATTATTATTATTATTATTATTATTAAAAAGGTGGAAACGAACAACCACCCCTGTAATCTGAATAATAGCTTATTTGAAGAGCTAACGGAACAATGAAGGGATTTTCTTTCTATTTTCGTTGATTTTCTAGGTTGTCATTGATTTTTCTTTACACGTGAAGCCGTCATGAACCTGTAAATAAGAATATTTTGCATTTTAACCTAAAAAGACTGATTTTAAAAGAAAACTTTTCCCGTTTGTTTGATCTGTTACTGCGTCTCTTTCAGACCACGGTGATCCAGTATAACATAATCGGCTAGATTAGCCATCAGAAATTATACAGAAAAAAAAACACACAAAAAAAAAACAAAAACACATATTGTCTGAGAAAGGATGGACTACCTGCCCGGACCCACGTGTAGGCACATATACAGGAGAGATATGGAAAGAAAAGAAAGAAATCTATAAAAGTCTTTTTCTTGTTCTTAGTTGAAGTTTTTAGCTGAGTAAAGTTGTCAAGTAATTTATTTAAAAGCTGTTTGATCCCCGCAGAGGGGAAGGCAATCACCTCAGTGATTATTCATTTTGTATTTTTTTCGATAAATGATTGGACTCGGGTCCGCATACAGGTGTAACCGCCTGTTGATTTGCTATAGATGTATTTGAACATTGTGGATTACTTATGTTACTTCATATGAAACCCGTGATAACCCTTAATTGTTAATACTCTCCTTTGGTGAAAAAAATGTATATTGCAGATATCAAACTTGTGGAGTGGTTCTCGTATATCTCCTGGATCGTTTTTAATTATATATTTTTTAATTATTATTATTATTATTATTATTATTATTATTATTATTATTAATAATAATAATAATAATAAAAATTTCGTTCCTCTAGCTTTCCCCCAAATTATCTCCCCAATTTCGTGAAGTTCTTTTTTTCTTCTTTTTCTTTTTTCTGGTGAAATTCACAGCAAAAGTTGGACAGAAAAAAAGGGGGGATTTGATGTAAAAGAGAATTACTTTTATAAATGTGGAAATAAAAGTCTTTCATTTAATCAAGTGGCTGCTTGAGTGTGTGACGGGAGGGCTTTTCAGGTGGAATCAACACGTGGACGCGGGGCATCACGCAGAAGAAGCTACACGAGGTGGACAAAAACAGCAGCAACACTCGGTGCAGTCTGATGCAGCCATGAAGCTCTGATTTTTTGGGGGATCGTGTTGTGCTGAATTAGCTTCTTTTGCGCTGTGTACACAGGCGCCGTTTTTTTGTTTGTTTGTTTTTTAAAAAAAACGTATTACCCGCTTACATAGCAAAAAGTATCTTTAAACAAATACAGCTTATTTAAACAGCAAAAAAATTATTTTGACTATTTTTTTTTAATTTGGCATTTTTAAAAAAACGAAAATAGAAATCTGGATATTAGCAAATTAAAATAATCATAGAAGAAGAAGAATTTTGTATGAGCAGTATGAAGGTATGAGCAGAGTCCTGTTTGATGTTTAGCGAAACGTCAGTGGGATTTATTAAAAAGACATTTTAAGGAATGTCAGTGTTATTGAGCAAAAGTTGGGGAGATGCATCCTGCTGCTTTAAATCACTTTACATGAAGAAGTTATAGGAAAAAACTGTCTATCCCTCCTCTGTTTGGTTTGGTGGTGTTGATTTTAATTAATGGAAAGGTGGACAGTTGTCACTTTTTCTAATCTTTAAAAAAAAAAAAGCAGACGTCTCTGGAAATGTTAGTGCGGTTTTTTCCACTTAATATTATTATTAGTTGCGCTCATCGGGTGTTTCGTTTCCTTTTTTGACAGCAAAGGGCTTTACAGATAATTAAACAAAAGGAACAAAAGCGCACGCGGACAGTGCACACACATACACACACACACACACATTCAAAAGTGCAATCAAAGATCAATTCCAGCTAATGTCTTTAAAGGAGGGCCAACAAAGCAGAAGGGTATTCTGTCCAAAATGGAGCCCCTGTCTCCTGCCATCCTCCCTCCCTTCCTCCCTCTCGCTTTCTCTCTCTCATTCCCACTTTTCTAAATTAACAGCAGCGACTCCAATTCGTTTTCCATAAACAATGCAGGAGATGAAATATTAATGTCATGTGCGCAATTGTTTAAGTGCCTTAAATGATCCCCATTTGGAAATTGATTGTTTCCATCCTTCTTTTTTCCTTGAGGGTGCTGGATGCGCGCTCCTCTGCCAAACGGCTCCAACAGCTGGTGACCGGGCTGGAGCTGACTGCAGACCGGGGATCAGCGTGGGGACAGCTGGTCAGCGGCTCCACCACAACTACCACCACAACCCCTCCCTTCATCCTTACAAATTTCAATCAGCCACCCATGCACCAACCCCACTCTCATCCTCCAAGTCTGTGTGGACCCAAGTTATTCGGCCATGGCGCTTTGGGGGTTAAAGGAGTTCAGGCTGACGGACACGACTTGGCATGTAGGATGTTAACGATTAGACAAAAGACTTTAATAGGTTTTAATTGAAAGTCGATAATGGGTTTGATAGCCAGCTCCCCCTGCTGTCCTCCACGCAAGGCACCTGTTATCTGGGGGCTCCACTTAGTGGCTGACCATGCTGTGAAATATCAGACTGACGGCCCGATAACGTGCGCTTTCATGATGCGTAAAATTGCATTAAAAATACAGTTAGCCGGCCCGGCGGGTTTTGACGACTAGGAAAGTGAAGAGAAGGAGAAAAAAATCACCTCCCAACTTGCCAAAAGATCATTATAGTCCCATCACAAGGATCCGTGACCGATTCAGTTAACAACGAGACATTTTTGGGGGGGAGGGAAAAAAAGGTGGGGGGGGTATACTTGCAAAGTGCACAGCTGATTATATAAGCAAAAGCCCCCGTGTGTCCTGTTGGATGACTGTGAAAGGCTGGTGGTAAATCCCCCGGCTCTTACCGTGGATTGTCCCGGGCTCAGGGTTAATGAAGTGCGGATGGAGTCTCGTTGAGCTCCCGACTGACATTAAAAAAAAAAAAAAAAAAAAAAAAAAAAAAAAGGCTTAAACCCAAAAGATCAGTGACTCTGCCTAATCCCACGGACCCCACTAATAATATTAATTCAAAAGAAAAAAAAGTAAAGAAAAGAAACCATCAACCTTTTGATGAAATTAAGAGACAATCAAAGCGGAATTTGCATTATGCTCGTAATGTGAAAGCTTTTATATTTCCTTTTATTTCTTTCAGTGGACCAATGAGGCACATGTGCAGCTTGCAGTAAGACTGTTGCGATGCACTGCCAGCGTTTTGTTTTTTTAAAAAAGAAAAAAAAATCCGCGAGGGAAGATGAAAAATAGATCAATTAAAATGTTCAAGAAACGCATGGCCTAATTTGCCGTGTTTCCCCCCCTCGAACAATAGCCATAAAAGAAAAGCTCTAATTTTACAGTTTCGTGCGCACAAGCGAAATGTGCTTTCATTTGGGCCATTATATCTGCGCTCAGTCAGATAAGAAATTATATCAATTTATCCCCACATCCCTAAAGTCTCCATCCCACATGCTATGTGCATTTGGGTCATTTTGGAATAACGTTTGAAGCCATCACACAAGTGTTTCAAAACAAAGCAAAATCGCTTTATTACACACAGATCCTCATGTGTGTAATAATCCAAACACAGTGTTTGACTTTGGTTGTTAAAAACAAAGAATGTTAAAGATTTTTCTGCCAGTTTTTCCACAAAGGGTGGTGTTTTAAACCTGTTCTTTGGAACATAAAAGATAAATTAGAAATCTAAAAATATATATTTGTATCTCTCCAAAAACATGGCAAACTAGTCTATTATATAAAAATATAAAAGACTCATAATGCTTTAGTCTTCACAGCAAAAATATAAATGAACCAAAGCTTGATGCAGGGATCTTTTATGTGTGTTGCTTCAGTATAAAAAGCAAGCAAAACGAGGCACACTTTAGCCTGAGCTAGTCCTCGCTTCCATGCAGAGTCACTCACGACTTCATTCACTCCACTAAAATTTCCTTTGGCCCAATAGCTGAAGAGAAAGGAGAGGTTATCTTTAAAATAATCTGACACAGCAATGAACAGAGACGCTTAAAAAGATGAAGAACATGATGAAGTATCAGTAAGTGTAAAGAGGGAGTGAGAAAGAGTAAAAGGAGAGCAGCAGCCTCCCAGTTAGAGATCCGCTCCTTGCCTGGAGGTACAGAGGGCCGTGAGGAGGAATGAAAGCCTCGTGGAGTGGAGGGGAGATAACCCCACTAATCATTTCCCCAATATGACTGCGGAGAACTACAAACTTGGGTCAGGGGCGCGGGGATTGACATCCCAATCTCAGCAAATAATGAAAGCTTTCCTCTCGGATCACAAGGAGGGTTAGGGAGGAAGACAGGAGAGGAGAACTGGGGGATCGACTCAGTGAAGACGCACACACAGTCTACAGTTGAAACATCTAATTTCTGTATTTTCTTCCACTGGACTGCAGAGGGGAAAGAATATCTCACACATGCCAATATGTTGACTGAAACTGGCATATGTTGTAGTTTTAGGACGATACATTCTGGCATTGTTAAAACCACCAAGAACTTCAGTACCACTGATAAAAACTGACTGAAAGTGTATTTAAAAAACCTTCCTTCTCTATTTTTTTTTTCACTAAAATTGGATGAAGCTTAGAAAATAAGTTAAAGATACAGAAATTTATTGATCCAGCAATAGGCTAATATCAGCCAGTTAGCATACAGGATGATGTTTAATGTTGCAAAGCATCAATTTCGCAATCACTATACACCAGGAACTCCAAATCTTGTCTTCCAAATCTAGTATGAAAAAAGGGGGAGAGACTTTTTAGACGTCCTTGTTTCGTTGTCAAAAAAAAAAAGAGATAAATAGCAACAAAGCTGTATCCACATTAGGTATCAGCTAAATTGTCATTTTAAACATCGTCATTGGTATCAGCCAAAGATTTCAGTCGTTAAAGCAACAGTAATGCAAACATTTTGGATCGTGTTATTTGAGTTAGGTCAGCAAAAGTTTCTTATTAATTAGTCTGGTGAAGGCTACCTAGCTTGCTAGCCAGCTATTAGTCCTAAAGTATGGTAATCAAAACGCAAGCTAATGTTTTACTAAAGTACTGCTGGTAAGAGATCAATAAATTGCCTTGTTTCCAGCATTATTATAATAGCTAAATTACCATTATTTGATAGTGTTACATATCCTTCACTGGTTAGTCAGCAAAACAAACAAAAACAAAACAAAAAGGTCGCTAACACACAAAAAATGGTTTCGTGTGATGTACAAAAAAAATCACAATCCTGATATTTTCAACTACGGTAAGCTCATAACTAAAGAGCTTTTTTCGAAAAAGAACCAAAAAAAATGTTCTTTAGCCTTTTCAGGACAACTTCCCACAACCTCTGGATGTTCTTGTGTTAAACATCCTGACTCAACAAGAAACAAGAAAAAAATGTACACAAGACAAATTAACAATGGCATGGTGGCAGTTTGATGGACGCTGTAGTTTTTTTGTGTTCACAAAGTAATTTTAGCTAAAGTTTATGTAACTCGTAAAAGCTTTCAAATAGTTTTTGAAAAGTCGTCTTTTCTTTTTTAGATTATGGAAACACCCACAATAATGCGACTGTTTCATTCACAAAGACCAATGAAAGAAGCGCTAAATCAGAGCTCACTGGGTAACAAAGGCTAGCGGGACAAAGGCAAGCCCGGGCATGGAGTCAACTCTTTCTAGCAGCTTTTAAATAAGCAGGATTAAATGAATTAACGGTAATGTTGCGTTCTATTTATTTCTTCTTGTCAACGTCTGCCAATTGAAAATATTACAGGAAATTTCTCCCATATCTTCAACTCTGAACAGTTTTCACCATACAGAGCTTTGTCTGAGTCGACACCTGAATCTGAATCTTTTGTTTTTAATTGTACACAAATAATCAATGCAAACTAGTTTCGAAATATGTTAAGCCTGTTGTCCTCTTAAAAGACAGATTCATTAGTTCATGACACACCCCAATAATAATAATAGCTAGCATTAACTTTATAGAGCTAGCTGTTATTATTATTTAGTTATTTATTTATTCTGATAAATGCAGGAAAATGTTTGTAAACTCCTGATGCCAATTATGTTTCAGTTTAATATGATGTAGATTACACCCCCCCCCCCCCCCTCCCCAAAAAAAAGCAGGGTTTTTGTATTCTATCAGTGTGAGACATTTCTTAAATGACAGTTTTTTGTTTTATTTTATTTTTTAATGTTTAACAAACTGTCCTGAAACCAGGGCCAGTCAAGTTTTAGAATATATTTCCACTTTTCCCATACAGTGTTTAAAGCCGTGTTGTTCTCAGCAGGGGTTGGTGTAAGCCACACTACTATCAGATGACGCCGATTATCCAATCAATACCTTGTTATGTCAGGCTTTTTCACCTGCCACACTGCCCTCTCTGCAACCACTCCGGTCAAACAACATGGCAAAAGGAGAAAAAAAAAACAGCCCGAGGCCCTGACCCCCAACGGTCAGCAAGTGCTACAAATGCCTCTGGGACCAACAGTGAGTAAATCTTACACTGTTCAGTCTAGACAAAGACATTTGAGAAAATGGGAAATAAATAAATAAATAAAAAATAAATCAAAACAAATTATTGGTGGTCTTTCTATTTTTCAGCCTTGACATGTTACACGTCAGCAGGAAAACGCAAAATTAAAGAAAACGGATGCAGACAAATAAGAAATTCACTTGCCAGACAACAGGAGACATTTGCCATTTTCATATTTGTAAACTGGGAAGTTTCACGGTCCTGATTAGGTGGCAAAAATTTAATCACAACAGGTCAGACCTTTAAAAATATATTTTTTTCCTCTATCTAACAACCAAGGTCAGCAATCTCATAATAAAGCTGGTCCTTCAAATTCTGGAAAAGCAGCCTTTTTTTCCCCTCTTCAGCACAGCATAAATGTACTTATACATGTGGAAGAATGTGCACACTGTGGTTTGATTTGAAAGAGGGCTCAATCAGAGGGAACAGGCAGTTTCTTGCACACCCCAGTGGATCCTCTGGGTCACTGTCAGGGCCACAGGGAGGCCTCTCACCTCATAAACATAAAGGGAGGAGAGGCCATCAATAAGAGATGAGGAGTGGTATACATGTATTTTTCAGTGCTGCTTCTGTGTGATGTCTGGCAGTTCTCTCACATTCTGTCTCCTGGTGGAGGGCAGAGAGCAGAGCAAGACCACGCATTTTTTTTTTTTTTTGAATTAGGCCTTTCTCACTCCCTGTCTGCGTGTCGAGGTGAGGACAAAGAAGTGGGTAAGTGAAGGGTGGAGGCAAAAAAAAGCCCCTCCAAAAAGTAGTATGTCGCTGGATAACAGGTACCCACCTTTGCCAGCGGGCTGATTGCTTCATTAGTGAAATGAGAGAGTTTGGAAACAGGGTAAATAGGAGAAATTCAGTCATCATGATCAAGTGTCTCACCTACAGGGTTTCTGTCATTAAGTCTTTAAAGATGCATTATAAAAATCACTGATCTGATACTGTTCGACCATCCAAATATATATAATGATGATGTGCGCCTAAAGCTAAAACAGAGAAAAGCAACAAAATGAAATCTACATCTAAGAGAACTAAATATGCCAAGCATGACGGTTTACAGGCTGGTATAGATCAGCTGATTTTTCTTCTTAGGATTTAGTCAGATTGACTCGAGTCCTGGCTGTGGATAAATTATGGGAAAGTTGCAGATGCGTCAAGGGAGCAACGGCGTGGTTTCAGTCAGGAATGGAAGTAATTGATGTCGCTTGCA